CTGATCAAATACTCGCTACCACTGATCAAATACTCGCTACCACTGATCAAGTACTCGCTACAACCGATCAAATACTCGCTATAACCGATCAAGTACTCGCTACCACTGATCAAGTACTCGCTACCACTGATCAAGTACTAACTTGTGTCAACTTGTTAAATACTGGCCACAACTGATGAGATACTAGCAACCTCAATGGCTGTCTATCATGAGTTGATAAGACCGTGAATTGAGGGAAGTAGTTAGATTTGTTTTTGTTGAGAATGGTCCATTAACTGTCCCTTTCATGTATTACACCCTTAAAGACAAAGGAAAGGCCCTTATGCTATAACGTGATAATATCCCATATAATCACTTGTAATATCTCAGTATGCTGTGTTGCTGTCCTGTGAAACATGTATCTCCAAATCCTTTCATGAGCTGAGATTCTGGGGAGTAGGGCAATTTTTAAACTATTTTTCAAAAATTCATTACAGTGTAATCATCGTGATCCTACTAGAAAATAGTTTCTTATATACAAAGAAAGATGTTTTTTTTTTTTTAAAGTTGGGTACAAACCTAAGTTACAAGCTTATTGTCCTGATGACAAACTACAGCATGGAGCCTTCTGAAGGTCTGTGTGCACCGTTACGTTCAGGCTCATTAGCATTAGTTGCAGAAACAGACGGGTTTACTGGTCTCCCCGAGGAGAAAAAGTGATTTATGTAAGACTGAAGATGAACTTCATTTCATGTTTTATTCCTCATATGATGATTTACAGGCCACACTTTTCTTAATGTTGGGTGAGCATTTGTATGTGCGTGACACAATAACTACATAATGAACCAGCATATACTGATTGTGCACAGAGGTACTTGTGGGAACTGTTCTTAAATGTTCCGTGTCTGTCTCTGTGCGTCTCCCAGGAGGACTTGTTCCAGACACCAGGACTACAAGAGGAGCTGCAGAGCATTATCGACTGTCTGGACACCAGCATCCCAGACTCCATCTGTATCCTTGTTTATGGAGCCGGTTCCCCCAAGACCCAGTCCTGCAATCATTGAAATGCCAAACAGTGCATCAAATAAGACACATATGTTCACGCTAACTCAATTAACTCATTGGTCCTGTTGTGTCTTGTTCTTGAGGATGTCACTGTTATTAGCATTATTATGACGATATTAATAGTAGTAAGCTAGGAGGTCAGAGTTAGAAGGGGCCCTTCCTCTCAATATATCTATAGCGCTCCATATTTGCTTGTTCTTCCTGAACTGTTCATGTAGCGGGTTGTAACCACTCTGTTGCTGAGGCTCTGCTGATCTTCTTGGAGGCCTTGCCAGAGCCAGTGGTGTGTTATGAACTCTACCAGCGGTGCCTGGACTGCGCTCACGACAGCCGCCTCTGCAAGCAGGTGCAGTGACGCTTCAGTTCCCCATCATTACTTTGCTTAGCTTCTGTGCTTTTACTCATACCACCATCTACTGTAGGTTTACACTGACTATGGATACATACCTCATACAATCCCACTTAAAGAGATCCAACCTATTCCTTTAACATACCGTGTAGTTATATGTACGATGTAGACCAGTTAGGCATTGTTTTCTGAGAGGAATTTTGAAGTTTATTTTAATGCAGCTGTATAGGAAAGAGTGTAGAAAGGCTATGTCTTAGCTCAGCATTATCCCAGGATGTTTCTTTGTCGTATACTGCATACTGTAATCTGTATGGCTGACCTTTCTCTACTTTTGACAGTTAATCTCCCAGTTGCCCCGAGCTCACCGCAACGTGTTTCGCTACTTAATGGCTTTTCTGAAGGAGCTTCTCAAGCACTCGCACAACAACAACCTGACGGCCAGCCTCATAGGTATGAAGTGGAAACCTCCTACCTTAATGCTCACTACACTCATTGAACAGCCAGTTGTTTCTAATGCGCATCAATCCCGATCGATTGGAACAACATGGCACAACACAACATCTGAAGAAAAATAAGTCCATTGTAGTATAAATGGTTTGTTGTGTGGCTCTATGTGTTTGTTGTATTTATCCCACAAATACGAAGAATCTGGTAACATCAATCCAGTGTGACTATTATTATTTTCTGTAAATGTTTACACAAAATACGGCACTTTTGTGCCAGTATTAAATTCAAGCTACAATAAAAAACATATGTAATGGTACCCATTCCTTGAGATGTGTTCTTCTTTAGAGCTCAGACTTCAGACTAATGTACTGTACCCTGTTTAAAGGCATTGTGGGTGATGCAGTAGTTGGGGAGAGCACAAATTATTTACTCTCATTACCTGTGATTTTCTGTCAATCAGGACTTTTACGCATCATTCTTATGGTAGCCATTCTGATAAATATCCTGACAAACCACAAGGGTTGGCTACAGAGACATGAATGTTCTGATGGTGTATTTTGTCTTCAAGCTGCCGGTAATACAGAACATGGAGAATAGTTTTCTTTTATTTGACTAGATAAAAGTGTCTATCTTGACCTTATTGTCCTGCTCTTTTTATTTTAGCGACACTCTTTGCCAGCCTCCTCATCCGTCCCCCTCCCAAGCTGATGGGCAGGCAGGCGCCACACGACCGGCAGAAAGCTATCAACTTCATCCTGGGTTTCCTCATGGCAGGAGACGAGGAGTAACCGAGACCGATGGTACCTCATGGCGTTGGTCGGGTTTGGAGTGGATTCCCAACCTGCCTTACTGTTGGACCTGATTTACATGGTATTTAGTCATCTATCGGAGACCAGTGCAGCCGTTTTGCACCCTACATTTTCTCAAGCTAGAGGAACTCAAGACTTCACTGAAGCTGTGGTGATTTCACCAAGTGTCATATCACAGAATGACCCCTCGCTGGATTCGCAATCACTTGGGTTTGGTTTGAACTGATGCCTACGCACTTTCTTATGACCTTAAGGCCCCGTGTCTCTGCAGTAGAGTCGTCCTCGCCCTCAGCTGATACTTCTTAGTGGAGGTGATCATGCCAAAACAACCCCTGAACAGTGAGTGGTAAGAAAGTGAAAACTCTAAGTATCCGTAGATCAATTTCACTAAATAAAAGGAGATTTACTGAAGTTTTAGGACATAGACTGAATAGTAGTATAAAGCAAATAGTTAGAAATGGGGTAATTGTAGGAATGAATCACTAAGAATGTTTAAGCTTTAGATAAATCATGACAATCATCTGTTTTAACTGACGGGACATTATTATAGATATCTTCAAGAACTATTTGTTACCATACTCATTGTATTTTAACTGTTATTTATATATATTTTTTTCTTTGTTCATCTGAACAGTTTCTGGTTTCTACTACAATATGGTTTATTTTCAGCTCTGCATTGCTTTTAAGATATTCCTTGCTTGTTTTTTTTTTTATCATCCTGTTATCGAAAACTCTGTGTCGTGAATGTTTGCTGTTTCTGTGTAACTCCAGCCGTGAGCCTTACGTCTCGTTTTTTGCCAGTTCCTCTTGAGTTACAAAACAAGTATGTTGACACACTAACTTCCTGGTTAACCAGAATCAAGGGAGGAGTCTCCCTCCGTGGTTCCTGATGTCTTAAATGGTGTAAATAGTGATCGTTTCCCTGTTTCATGGGTATTTGACTGTCGGTATGGTGATGCAAATCTGTGGTGGTGTCTGTAGTTTGTCCTGTTTGTCATGAAGGTGGTGCTGTTGATGTCGGTGTTTGTTTACATGTCTTTTTCCTCACTTCGGCCACATCTTAAAGCTCATTTCTCATTGTTTTAGGCTGTTGTGATGCCAAGGCACAGCCGTTGTGGTGTTAATGGTAAATCCAGATTGTTTTTGGTGCTGCGGCTCTTTCTGTGTGCACAATGTAACGGACCATCACTCTGCAGGGTGCAGTCTTTGTGCCACTGAGGACATTCTGTAGTCACTGTTGCAAACCATGTCATTGAAATAAGGAACTTCTCTGCTGTGTATAATGGACTGTCATTTCCTCTTTAAAAATTTTCCTCTTTTACAGTTTTAGAGATGTCAGCAGTAGTTCTCCCAGTCGACAAAAATATTCACATTTATGACATTAATTCCCCTTTTGAGCTTCTGAGGATTTAATGTTTGGAGACGATTGTGAGCACATTCTGTAATGTGACAACACTGACTGTCATGGCACTCATAGATATGCCTGTTGGGCTGAAGTTGCTCTATTCTTGTTTTTTCTGCCCGATTGCCATCAATACACTAAATTCTGATTGTTTTTAGTGTAAAGCCCAGCTTTGACAGAAGGTGGCTTGACCCTGAATGAAGAGTTGAGAGACATTTTACAATAGCCATTTATTTTTTTCATTTTGTCTTTTATACTATCCTCATCGTGTTAAACGCAGAATCAATATATTCAATAACCTCTTATCCCGCTGTACCAGCTAGTGTATCTGTGTGGCTCCGTTGTGCTTCTTTGTCTTCAGTTTTGTCCATGAAATTAAGGTACATTTAAAGGTATGTGAGGAAACACTCGCACCATGCTTTCCACTTTTCAGATTTTTGGTGCTTTTAATTTATTTAACAGAAATAAAACTGTCTAAAGCTGTTTTTGTTTTTTCCATTAAACACCGCCTTGTTTATTGACCTCTTTGCTATTTTGATAAACAACAATTGTACAATGTCTTCAGGCACATGTGACATCGTTACTGCCTGATGTTCACGGTATATTTAGTCCACTCGGTGGCCGGTGAGAGATCCTTCACCTCACTGCTACATTCTCATCCTTGGTGAATATAAAACCCCACCGTGGACCTGCTGCCACTATTTGCCTGTAGTAGTTCTGTTTGGACCAGTCCAAAGCCATGGCCATGCTCAGAGTGTCTTCCTACCGCAAGCTGTTTGAGGATGATAGCTGGAGTCGAAGTGGAGGGTTGAGTGTTCAGTGTGCAGGCCAGTACCGAGCCTCTGTCAGGTCAGTGTGGGTCTCTGGGTGGAGGGCGACTTCAGAATTTGGGCTGCACTTTACAAATTTTAAGATGTTGGGGACCGACTCGAGTGTTGTTCCTCTTAAAAATAATATAGAAGTTGAGATGTTTGAACAGAAACAAATGTTTGGGTGCAAAGTTCATGAACCTGGTTGTAGAGTTTACATGTAGTTACAGCAGATTTTTCTGAATGGTGATGACAAATGCCTTTTGTGCTCACGGGTGTAATCACATAGTCTGTTCATTTACCGTGACGGTGATTCTGAACTGTAGACACTTTTTTTTTTTTTTTTGTGTGTTTCCTTCTGAATGTGGCAAATAAATGTTTTACGGGCGACTGTATTTAGCTTTGTGACGGTCATCAAGGTGGATCAAATGATCTCCCCTAGGATCCTTCAAAACAGTCTAGTCTTTGGTACTTTGTGTCTTCCTCTCAGGGGTGCGGCCGTTGACAAGTGTGGCGGTGACTGTGACAAGTTAGACTTTGTAGCTGCCAAGGCCCTCAACAAGGAGGGTCTGAACCGGTTTGTCCACGACCGCACCATCATAGCTGCCCTCAATGACCGACTGGTCAGGCTTATTGAACTGGTGAGGAAAAACTGCTCCCAATGACACATCAGCAGCGTATATTCCCTCTGCTGAATCACGCCTTTGGTCTTGGTAAATGAAGCAGTACATCTATAAACCATATGTAGCGGTTTAATCCGTCTGTGTCCTTTAGGCTCATTGTTTTGAGGAGGAGAATGAGTCTCTTGAATGTCAGATTGTGGAGCTAGAGGAGAAGCTGAACAGTCGACGAGCCTCCTCCAGCATCGGCTCCACTGTGGCCGAGCCCGACTACAGTCTGGATGCAGTGGTGGAAAGACTGCGCAGGGAGAGGGTAGGGTGCTGCTGCTGGGTGTGTCTGCTCTGCTGCATGTTTGTCTGTGTGTGACATTCCTAAATCGGGTTTTCTCATAGACGGTCCATTGCACTCCTCACTCCGTCCCATCAATTTTACTGCAGTTCGTACAGTGACGAGCAGCACTGATCTTTAACCTTGTCGAGATCCATCACTGTCGTCACTGCGTCTCCCTGCAGGATGAGATTCTGTGCGACACCGAGGACCTGCAGAAGGAGCTCGAGCATCGGATGAAAGGATACGAGAAGGCTGCACAGCAGAGGATCCTCCTCCAGCAGGGACGACAAGATGTGGCTGAGGTAACAGTTGTGAATACAATAGCATCCGTACCTGGAAGACGACTGACAAATGAGTGGAAGTCTGGGCTGTAAACAGGATTTAGAAAAATAGACTCCTCCTACAAAAAATAGGAAATGAACTACCAAGATCTATACTAAAGTGATATCCGTAAAGTGTTTCTAAACAAACGATTAGTTTTGTACAGACGAGAAATAAACATGCAGTAATACGAAAGTTGGAGTATGTACTTTGACCAATTTAGTTATTCTAAGAAATCAGCTCTAGAAATTAAACTAGCTAAAGAGATTCAAAGCCAACGAACAATAGCAACTACTTTTTAACAACTATAATCATCAACCTGCAAAAACACTGGATCCTACATTTCACCCATAGAAATAGAATGAGAGTAGGACTGGTAACTGTGCTATAATTGATCAGACCTTTGTTGTGTTAATGTACCTTGAGCACTAGATGGTAGTGTTAAGCTGCTCCATCTCCCCTCGGCCTCCTGGTGAATCAGTTGAAGCTCTGCACAGCTGCTCCTCTGCAGCGCTACCCAATGGGTGTTGATCACCAGCAGTCACACAGTCTGGGCTGACAGCCCACTGCAACCTGAGCCACCAACTTTTCCATTTACCCCCCCCTCCCTCACACATGCCAGAGCCCATCTCTTCCCAGCTGCGCCAGAAGCGAGGGAGGCTTTAATTTCTCCCTTACAGATGTAATGCAGGCTGTAATACGGTGCCGTAATGTTCCTGCTGGCTCAGTTCTCTGGTTCTGAATTAGAAGCAGCTGCAGGGTGACGAGACTTGGTGGGAAACCGACAGGGAGGCAGAGGAGCGAGCACAACCCAGCTCAACTCATAGCTAGTTGCAGTTCTCTCAACATTATGTTGATGATTATGGTGATGAAACGAGGCATGTTTGGTTTGTTTTTCAGTATACTACGAGACACTGTATTTTTGTCTCTCCCGCCAGTTCTCCTCCAGCTTTATATTTTGTTCCACTCATGTCGTGTTGCTGGACCTAGTTGGCTGCAGCAAAGTGCAGGTGCAAGTGAAATGAGCACCAGAATTAACAACATTCACCAAAATTAAAATCCAATCACTATCAATTACAATCAGTCTGTTTCATAAGTAGTGCTGGGAACAAAAAATTGAAAAAAAGGGAAGTGTTCGTTACACACTCTTAGGCAGAATAAGGAGAGAAGTTGAATTGAAAGCCTTTATTTAGGCAGGCATGTCGATTAAAGCACCTCAGAGGGTCCTCATTAGGGAGAAAATAGCACTTGATTTTTAAATATTGAGAAACTTAAAGTTGTTTTAACAATCATCTTCTTACTATGAGCGATGGATTCCACAGAAATGCACAATTTTCTGCTTGAGTTAGATCAGTTTTGGTTATTGTACCTGACAGATTTCTGTTTTTCTCAGTGCTCTTTTCCATCGGTCTCAATGGGGCGGAGCTCAGTTTGGAAAAAAAATGTTCCCCCTAAACTTTTTGCATTGTTAGTAGCAAATATTTAAAGTTTCAGTATGTTTTGTATCCCTCTCACCGCTCTCATCAGCATAGCTTTTAGCAGAATATCTCACTTTAACAGCTGACCAGTTATCTAGCCGGTGAGGAGAGTGGAGCATTTAGCTGATAAAGAGACGGATATTTTCCTGAGGAGTTGGTGAAGACCAAAATAGAGCTGACATACATTTGTCAGGTGGACAGAACACGACTGCAGATTAATGCTAATGTTGCTCTCCTGGATGCTAACAATAGGCAACAGTTTCAAAGGTATCTGCTAAATTGACTTAATTAGGTGCTGTTATGTCAGTGTCGTGTTTACAGCTTGTTCTGCTGCCCCTAAGTGCTCAAAAAGACTTAATGCTGCTGACAAGTTGTCCCTCAGCGGCTGAACACCGGCAGCTGCAGGACCAGACTACTTTTACTCACTGCTGTCCATCATGGATCCTGCCACCCTCCCTGCGAGGCTCCACAACTTCACCACCAAACTCTCTCTGCATGTGTCCGAACGTAAATGCCGGCACCCACAGTAATTGCATCCAACACAAATGAATCTGGTTCTTTAAAAAGAGTGGATGAGCTGAGAACCCCTGCTGGCAGATAGATTGGTGGACACGGCTTTTGTGTCTAGTTAGCCTCCTTCTGATCTTCTTCCTCCTCCTCCTCCTTCCTCTGCATTGCGGTGTCTACTTGCTGTTCAGTGAAACAGGTGGATGTGCTGTGCTGATAGTTGTTCAGTGCAGAAAGAAAGCTTTTTGTTCCTCCAACCTGTGGTGTGATTTACTACACAAATGGCAGTGTTCCTCCTCCAGAAATTAAGTTGAACTTCTTTACCTGCAGCCTTGTTCTCTTTTTAATTTGATTTTCTTTGCAGGAAGTCGATGCTGTGACAGCAGCGTGTTTGGCGCTGAGGGAGCAAGTGGCTATCTACGAGGAGCAGCTGGCCAACATGGTGGACCAGCACACCACGGTGAGGGGGAGAGAGGATATATAGCTGCACTGTGAGGAAACACGAGTTGTTTATAGCCATGAAAGTGACTCAAAATGAGGCATTTAGGTTGGAAAGGAGTGATGGAGAAATGCCCGGGCCAGTGGTGATAATCACAGCTGTGATGACCCCACTCACCTTGATGAAGAGCCAAAAAAAAGCCCCGTCAACAGTAACACATGGGGAGAGGATTGAAACACAAATTATGTAATTGAGGCTAACGTGCAACCAGTCAAAATTTCCACTTATCCATAATCATAAACAGACGAGAGGAAAGGGGACTGAAGCTAAATAACAGAAAAAACTGAGTTCTGAGATCATTCAGGCTGAACACACACCCACACACACACACACACACACACACACACAGAGGGCTAGCTAGTGTACAGCTAACATCAGTACTGTCTGCATATCGGCTGTTTGGGGCGTATGAACCAAACCGAGAGGTCAACTTCACATGAACGACACAAGTGAAAATTCTCATCGCTGTGTCTGAAAGTCCAGATATTAACACACTGACATCTTCTCATGTAACTCTTGATGTGAAAGCGAATACGCACACAACACAAAATGTCAAACTACTGCTTTGAAATAGGGACACGCTTGCAACCATATCCAATTCACATCATTTCCTTTATCACATCCGTACACACCCTGTTCTCTCCACCTTCTACAATATTCTCCACCTCGCCAGGAGATGACAGTATCAGATCTCGAGGCTGTAGGGAGAGGGAGGGAGAAAGAGAGAGAGAGGCAGCTGAAGCAGGACCAACTCCATCACACTGTGTTTTTCTCTGCAAAGCCGGGCCGCCCGGCGTTTAACACACTCCCTCTGGGACACGCTCGATAACTCACGGTCCGGGAAATGCAGCTGAATACCAAATGAAAACTGAAGTTCCCTTTGTTTTATTAACTGTTGTTGTTATCAGCACTTTCAGATACCCCCATATTCCCCTGACAAATTGGCAGCCATGTCGTTATTTAGGTGGAGGGGAAAATGTTAAGACTGCCTCTGCAGCGGTTCATTTATCTCCGTAATGGATGTGGGTTTTTTTTTACTAAAGGGGCTACATATTGGAAGCTGAAGACAAGTATGTTGAGGTCTTTGACGTGTGTCTAAATACACCAAAATGTACTGCATGTGTTTGTATTTGAAGAGGTGGAATGAAACTAAGTACATTGATGCAAATACTGTATTTAGGCACGTATTTGAAGTACTACAGTATTTTTATTTCATGCATTGTACTTCTACTGCACTAAAATTCAGAGGCAAATATTGTACTTTTTTTGTATTTGACAGCTTTAGTTACTAGTTACATTACAATTTAAGATTAAAAACTTATGATATGCTAATAAAATGTAATGCAAATATCAACAGTTTATAAATAGATCAAATTAGTTTTGCCTCGACCAACTCCGATATTAAAATGTTACTTATACATTAATGTATTCGTAATAGTAATCTAATTATACAGAATATATTTGCTTGACACTCACAGGGATCATTTGTCTGCATAACAATTTCTTTTACCTTCAACACAGTTATTTTACAGATAACGCTTACATTAACTTAAACATATTCGAATGATTACAAGTCCTGCATTCCAAATATTATTAAAATTTACTTAAAGTAAAAGTATTGATGGCCATTTTCTGTGCTAAATTAATATGTATTGTTGATTTGTTATAAGCAGCATTTTAATGTACTAGCTGGTCGAGCAAATTTTAACTACTTTAAGTAGTAATTTAGCAGTGTAATCATTTATGCATCATATTTTATAAAGTGATCACATGCTTTTTATGTAAAATCTCAAGTAGAGCTGTCAAATGTATATCTATAGTGGAATAAAAAGTGCAATATTTCTTATACTATTAGAAGTATAAAGTAGCATACAATGGAAATAATCAAGTAAAGTACAAGTACCTCAAAGTTCAACTTGAGTACAACACTTGTACTCAGTTACATTTCACCACTGAGTAAAGGATGTGAATGTACTTCACCACTATGTGTATGAGCAGGCCGTGGAGAGTCTGCTGCAGCCGGCTGAAGTGACTACAGGAGCGGTGGCAGCCATTACATTTGGCAGCCCTGACATCACTCCGGTCCTGGATGTAAAGGAGTACTACTGCCAGCTGGCCGAGAGCCTCCAGGTACAACACGCTGTAACGTAAGGCACACAAACATGTCATGAAGTGCAAGCCTTTTGGTGCCAAATGCTTTACAGTAGCATGGCCGTATACAACCGTAGCATCACATCAAGGCTTTAGTTCTCAGTGAGAGACCCTAAACTGCACACGACTGGACAAAGGTCATACTCGTACCAAGTACATTTACTCAAGTACTGCACTTGAGGACAATTTTAAGGTACTACTCCACTACTTCAGAGGGAAGTATGTCAGTAATATGTTATCCAACAGCTATATATACTTGTTACTTTTAAAATTACTTAAAAAAAAAACCATGTTAAAGTAAAATACACCGTGACAGATTAAACCAGTGTTTCCAGACCACAGAGAAAACCCTCTTACCTCTTCACATTAGAGCACAACTGTTAAAATTATCCAATATTTCACAAAAAAATGGAAAGTCCAAAAAAATGAATATATACTTATGTAGAGGAACTTAGTTTTTTCTTCTCTCCTCTCCCATTAATTATCTCACGACCCCTCAGGTTTATCTTGTGACCTTTTGGCGGGGGCCGACCCCTAAGTGTGTCAACCACAGGACTAAACTACTTAACTGAATATAAAGAAACGCCAACTGAACCTTCACCATCTACAACAGTAAAATGGCACTTTCACATTCATGCATCAGGTTTAATAACCTCTTATATGATAGTATGTATATCAGTGACAAAATACATTTTTCTGCAGAGCAAGTACTTTTAAATTTGATATTTAAAGTGCATTTTGTGTAGTTTTACTTCACTAGGATTTTGAATTGCTTTTAGTTGGAGCATTTTAAATTTGTTACATTGCTACTTTCATTTGCGTTAAATGATCTGAGTACTTCTTCAACCGCCGGCTGCCATCCTCATCCTCCTCCTGACTGCTGGTCACCTTCTCTCTCCCTCTGAAACGTCTCACTCAGGTCCAGAATGTAAATCTCAACTTCCACAAATCACACAACGATACTCCCATTTGTTTTCCTTCCCTCTTAACACAACACGAGGGAAGAACTTGAGAATCAGAGGTTCAGGACTGGACCCGAACAGAATGCCTTTGTCTACCTGTGTGTGTGTGTGTGTGTGTGTGTGTTGCAAGCTAAGGCGTGCTGCATTGGGGTCAGACTATAGCTCCGGTGGGTCTGACCTCCTCTGGGTCGAGGATGTCTGCCCGGTTCAGAGGTCACGGCTGTAATCAGACTGCTGGCCGCCTTCCCAGGCTCCTCAGCAGTACTGGAGTGGATGCTGGTGTGTGTGTGTGTGTGTGTGTGTGTGTGTTTGTGTGTGTATGTCCTTCATTTTAAAGCATTGGTGAAGGTTATCCCGTGTATTTCTGTATTTGTATGTCTGTCTAGATGCGTCGGTGTGTTTCTTGCTCCCCAAACCCCGTCTATCTCTCTCCCTCCCACTCAGTTTCTTCTCTCGCCAGCTGGACACCGTCCTGTCTGTGCCCGCCCTCAATTACGAGACGCAATTGTCTCAATGCTAAAAAATGATTGCTATTGGGTCTGAACAGTAATGGTGATTGCTGGCTGACTTCCACACACCTGTGCACACTCATGTCTCGTTTCTGCAGCATTTGTTCCATCTAATCAGAAGTGTGGGGCACACGAGGAGAGGTTCACCCATCAGCCGGCATGAGAGGCTCTGATTGCTCTTTGCTCCCCTGTCAGAGTGCACTTAACTGCCCAAAAGAAAGCACTATCCTCCACGGTCCCGTGCATTTGCAGACTCAAACTGAAAGGTCGTAACTTTCACGACTGCGCTTCTTCCTCTTTTTCCTGTCTTTGCAGTGCGAGTGTGGTGCTGCCTCCTCTGCTGTGAGTCGCCAAGTTGATGGAAAACAACTGGCAGAGGGAAGAGCCGGAGGGTCAACAGTCAAAGACGTGTCAAAGATAAAGGACATCAGTGAGATCAAGATGCTGGTGAGTGGACTCACTGCTGCTCACCATGGGATTTGGGTTTTTTTGCCAAGATTTTGAGATGACCGTTTCTCAGATTTCTGCAATGTACAAATCTCAACAACATATTGTGCAAACATCTGCACTAAGCCAGCTACTCTTATGAACTTCCTTGCATGGAGTTAGATAAGAAGATTGATACCACTATCATATGTGTGCACTAGATGTAAAGCTGCAGCTGATTAGCTTAGCACAAAGACTGGAAACGGGTAAACTGCTAGCATGGCTCCGTCCAAAGGTAACAAAATTGTAGTTTTGAGTATACATCTCAGAAACTGATACTTCTAAACCTCTGGAAATAAAAACACAACTTCCTGCATGTTGGTTAACTCTACTGCCAAGTAAGGCAAAATAAATGTGTATTTTTGGCGGATGAACTGACCCTTTAAGTCTCACATTTACACGTCCTTTAAATCCTTCAGTTACGGCCTTCTGATTCAATTTTTCCCATAACACATTTCCCACCTCTTTACTGACAAAAGTGGAGTCTTACAACCCTCAACTGCCTCTGCTTCGGCCGTCGGCTCCTAAATCAGACATGATGGTGAGAATGAATGGTTTCCCACAGCAGGCGGAGGCAGTAGAGGGCAGCTGAGTGACAGCAGAGCAACAGTGTGGGCGATCCTGCTGACCAGAGTGTTTACTCTGCAGACACTTTCAGCAGGAGATGTGAAGGGCTCGGCTTCAGCTCAGACAGGATTTATTGCCCTCCGTGTCCTTAGTTATTAAGTACAGTCTTTTCAGAGCGCCTGCAGCGTCATAAACGTCTTAAAACTTGCCACACACACACACACACACACACACTGACTCTGCAAACGGAAGAGAGGAAATAAACCTTCATCGGATATTTCTCATCCAACCAGCAGAAAAATGAAAGCAAGGGAGCTTAGAATGAAATCGCAAAGTGAGGCATCAATAAGGAGACAAAACAGTGAAATCACCAGGTGACTCCAGACACTACCTCCTCTTCCTTCACATTAGCCTCCTGAACATCCATCAGTGGTCCGACCACAGCTGACACCTAACCACATCTGTAACAAACACGGTGGTTTAGTTCTCATTACTGTGGCTGCAGCTCTACCTCCAGCTCTTTAAATAAACAGTGAGCCTCTGTAACCACAGCAGAACTCTCCCAACATCATCTACTTTTCTCTAACATGCAGCACACAATCCCCAGTTCTGCTCAATCCAGCCTGACGGATGAACAGCACGGCTTGATCTGCTCTGTTTCCTCTCTCGCCTGTGATGGATGCCTCGGGTCTGGTTTCTCGCTGAGACACAACATGGCCAAACAAACAGATTGCAGTGAAATCAGCCCTGACGCAGAAATGTATATAATAGAGCAGCCACTGATGGGATCATACGCCACTACTCGCACACGGCCCAGACCTCACTTATCATGCCAGGGGGAGCGGAGGAGTGTGGGAGTAAGTGACTCGACTAGGTTTGGGAGTCATCATCAGCCTGTGAGTTGTTACCAGGGTCTTCTTCTGCTCACATGATCTCGCTGAAAGACGAGCACGACCGCATGGATCTCCATCTGGCTGTGACGGCTAATTGTTGAACTTCTGTGATTGCTGTAATTACTCACGGCAGGACACCACAGCTTCAGACACGGGGGGGGGCCTGCTTTTGTAGAAGTGAAGGAACCTGTTTTATCAATGAAGGTTGGTTTGATTGGCGTACTTAAAGGACCAGAGTGTAATACTTAGGGCGCTCTGTTAGCAGAAAGAGACTGTTTCATTAGTGTATAATCACCTGAAATAAGAATCGTTTACGTTAGCTTAGAATAAGCCCTTCATATCTACAAGCGGAGCAGGTCCTCTTCCATGGAGTCCGCCATGTTGCACCACCATGTTTCTATAGTAACAACAAACCAAACAATGGCTCTAGACGGGGTCTTTTGTGTTTTTCTGAAGGCAACCATAGGTTCTCCAACACTCTTGGGTCAGGAGGGGTATTCAGTTAGTTGTTCTGGTTCGGTAGAGCTCAATTTCTATCCATTTTTAATGTGATCATTTGTGGTGATTAACCCACATAGACCCACGAATTCTGCCTTCATTATTCCCGTTTCCAGTTGCTGTCAAGACTTAGAATCTACAAGAACTTTGAGCTAAATGCTAACGTCAACATGCTAACATGACATTTCTAACATGCTGATTTTAAGCAGGAATGTTTACTATCTTGGTTTAGCGTTTTAGCATGCCAACATTGCTAATTAGCAAAAATACAAAGCTGGTAGGAATGACATCAGTTTGGCAGGTGTTTGTTTATTTTAACTTTGACAGCGCTAGAGTAAGGGGTACACTAAAGATATTTAAATTTATCCTGAGGGAGACGTCTATGTACTAAATTTCATGGCGATTAATCCAATAGTTATTGAGAAATATCACCTGAAACCAAAAATGTCAACCTGGTGTTAGCATTGGATCAAAGTCAGTAGGATTCATCATCTGAGATCAATAGAGTCGCACTGCTAGCTCACGTTTAAAATGCTCTGATGAAATAACTACCTGCTCAGCATCAGATGGCAGACAAAATGCATATAGTTCTCCGTAGTTGCCGAGACCTGAAGCTAAAGAAGAGTAAATATGGGATTTAAGGGACCATCATTACATTACTAATAAGATAACTAACTGGAAATCATTGTTTGAAGTATATTTGAACCAATAACCTCTGCTGTGTTTCGTCTGTATTTCTGTAGATTTCAGAGCTACAAAAGGAGCTCGCTGAGCTTGACCAGTGTAACGAGGAACTAGAAGACGAGGTTGAGAGGAAGACTGCTGCATACATGGACGAGATTGCTGAGATGGAGGTCTGAGAGTGGACTGATTAACGATCAATCATAGGCTGTAAAGGACCAGTGGTTTGGACTAATTCTGTCCTTTATTCCCACCCTCTAATCCCACTATGCTGTGTGCGTGTGTGTGTTATTCAGTGTACTATAGATGAAATGTGGCACCAGGAGGCCGACTTCAAAGTGCAGATGAAGGAGCGGTGCGAAGACTACAAGGAGCTGCTCAGTGAGAAGATGGCCAGAGACATGGAAATTACTGCCTACAGGTCAGACACTAATATATTTGATCAGTTAGTTGTTGTTTTTATTCATGCAAAACTGCTCTGAATAGTAATAATGACCTGTGCTTCACAATTTAAGTCAAAACAGGTTCAGGTTATCTTGCAAACATAAAAATATACTTGGAACTGACTAAACTACATTTTTGTTTAAAGGGTCTCTTCTAGTAATGCAGTTGCTAGTCATCATTAATACACATACATAATGCAAAAATACTGAACATTAACTGTTACAGATTAAACATTTATATGAGGAATGTACAGCAAAATGTAGCAAAGACAAAAAAAACATGAAATAGACTTTTAAATTAGACTGAATTAGTGCATAAACTAGAAACCACTGACAAATATTAATATATGCAGGCTGTATTTACAGCACGTATACATAATAACTTCATTATCCATTCAGTATTTATTCCAGTACTCGTTGCACTAACACTCACCCTTGCGCAATTGTTAAACTTATAGAAACAGTTTTTACTTCTACATAGATATGCACTCATGTCCATTGTTAATTTTATATAAATATATTTATATATGCATATTTATTTTGCCCATGTTGAGAGCTACTAGACACCGGACTCAAATTCCTTAATGTGTAAACATTTTTGGCTAATAAAACTAATTCTAAATGTATATTGTTTGACTGATGAGAGGAAAAGAATAAGATAGCCTGTTAACTCTGCCCAAATGCATTTATTGGGTCTCATTTATTAAAGTAACACATGCATTGAAGTTGTGAGTTTTCAGTCTGAATAAGCTCCGTATACAACAGTGTCTAGGAAGATGTAATTGATCTTTCCTTCTGGGGTTGACTTACAGCAATAATTACATTTACCTTCTAATATGTTATAACGGTCATAATATTAGTGCTGATGCAATTGTCTGAGCTGTCTTTTATTTATATATATATATATATATATTCAAGTGAACACAAACTTAGGGTTCACTTGACACA